GGCAGGGGCAGTGAGAAGCTTCGCCAGAGACAGAGCGGGGAGCAGAACAGGCAGACTGACAAAGTACTGCTGAGGGGAACAGCGGGCGGGTCAATAGCCGCCAGTTATTGAACTCATGCTAGTGATCGAAATCATGCGTTAGTGTCTAGAGCTATTGTGGTTCTGCACCCATTGCACCACCAGGGAGGGCCTATGGGAAGTAATTTTAGTTGATATCACAAATCATTAGTGAATGCCTTCTATTGTATCAAATTGTATTCTTAGTGGTTAGAGAAAGTTGCTGCAATTTGACATGTTGCCTGTGTTTCTGAGGTGTTTCCTAGGCTTGGGTGGAGGGGAGATATGAAGATAAGGTATTACAGGCCTAGAAATAAAAGCAGCATATGTACAGATAGTGTTTTAGAATCTCCAAATACTGACGGCTGCTTCTCTCCAGGTTGAACTTGTTTTCTTATGAGATAAAAATTGTAAGATCCAGAGAAATGATTGCCTGGAAACCCCCTACCAGCTTTTAAAAAATACATATTATTAAATAATACCCAGGCATTGTTCTCATTGTCTGCCAGGGATGGAACCTTGGGCAGACTGAATGTTTCTGGGTTGAAGAACTGAAGTACACTGTTGAGTGGGCGGGTCAGGAGAGGTCTGCTGCACCATGTGGGTCACCTGGGGCGGAGATCAAACTCATGATGAGATGGCTTCAGCTTCTTAGTGCTGTGCTGTAACCCACTGCGCCACCAGGGAGGGCCCAAAACTTGATTTTTTTAAACAAGTTCTTGAACTGAGAAAGTTCATCATCTGCAATAAAAGAGAACATATACAAGTCAGTATGGTGCAAAGATGCTACAGTATTTGGAAACAGAGGTCTGAGTAAGCTACAGAAAAGAGGTATTATTTCTTTCTGGCAGGTGTTCTACAAATGCCATTTTTTGCTGCTCCTAAGAGCATTCTAGGATAAAAAAATCTAGCAGGGCTGAGACAGGAAAATGTAGAGCAGGTTTGGCAAATGGTAACTAGTTGAATTTGACCATTGTTTGGCAACACCCAATACAGATTGCTTGAGGTGAAGGAGGCAAGGCAAGATTCTACTGATCTTTATTCCTGCTCTTAAATAGAGTTTCTGTTTTGAATTTTTTTTTATTGTGGTAAAAATACACAAAATATAGAATTTCTCATCTTAACCATTCAAGCATAAACACTTTAGTGGTATTAAACACATTCATAATCTTGTTCATCTGTCCTTACCACCATTCCTACCTATAACCCTTCATCTTGTACAACTGCAACTCTGGCCATTCTACACATAACTCCTCTTGTCCACCTCCCCAAGCCCCTGACACTGTCATTCTACTGTTTCTGTCAGTGATTTGCACTACTACAAGTATGTCATTTAAGTAGACTTATATAGCATTTGTTTTTTCTGTGACTGGCTTTTTTTTTTAAAGATTTATTTATTCGTACAGAACTGGGGTACAGGTCAGAGATGTGGAGGGTGAGAGGATTCACCAGAGACAGAGTGGGGTACAGAACAGGCAGATCGACGAGGTACACTGCTGAGGGGAGCAGTGGGCGGGTCAGGAGAGGTCTGCCGCGCCACGTGGTCACTTCCGGGGCAGGCGGGAATCGAACTCATGCAGAAGTGGTTTAAGCTTCTTTGTGCTGTGCTTTAACCCGCTGCGCCACCAGGGAGGACCTGTGACTGGCTTATTTTACTCAGCGCAATGTCTTCAAGGTTCATGCATGTTGAGGTATAACTACATCAGAAATTCCTTTTTAAAGCTGAATAGTATCTCATTGTATGTATCTGCCACATTTTGCTTAACTGGTTATCTGTCATTGGACACTCGTTTCCATGCTTTAGTTATTGTGAATTATGTTGTTATCAACATGAACATACAAATACCTCTTTGAGACCCTGCTTTCATTTCTTTTATATTTATTATTTATAGCCTTTTTCTAGATGCATTTGACAAACATGTTGCAAAGATGTTTTGAAGGTTGGCTTTAAGTAAATGAGGCTAAATTTCTGCGGAAAGATATCCATTTAATCTTTTTAATACTCTAATAATTAAATGGTTTGCATACTACGTTTATTAATTTTTAAAAAAGATTTATTTATGCATACGGAACTGAGGTACAGGCCAGAGATGCGGGGGCAGTGAGAGGATTCACCAGAGACAGAGTGAGAGCAGAACAGGTAGACTGATGAAGTACACTGCTGAAGGGAGCGGCAGGTTAGAAAGGAGATGTCTGCCAGGCCACATGGGTCACCTCCCTGGCCAGGGACTGAACTTGTGTCAAAACAGCTACAGATAGCTTTGCAGTGCTGTGCTTTTAACCTGTTGTACCACCAGGGAGGGTCCCTACATTTATGAATTTAAAAGAGCAATTTGATTCTAGTTTCCATAGAACCTTGAACATTTTATGGAAAGCATTTACAGTAAAAACAGAAGCTTTAAAGTTCATTTAATATCAAATTCCCATAATTCCTTGAGTTGACTGCTCATTGGTGATGATTTCTGTTTAGTGTGAAAGAACAGTATTATTAGTTTCTCTGTTGAGATTATCTTATGAAAAATAGTACTTCATCTTCGTGACAAAGCCATAATGCTATTTGAGCCTAATGTTGAAATCTCTTGTCTTTACAGTAGAATTTTTACACTTATTGTATAATACACAGGGATTTTACATGTAAGTTATCTTTTAATCTACCATTGGTCTTTTTAGAAATGAAGAAAAGTATGTAAAGCAGTATCTGTTTTATACTTGAGTCAGTTGAAGAATGAACTTCATCCTTTTAAATCCAAAAATATGGATGTAAAATATCTGGTATTAAAATGTTTGAATTTGGATCTATGGATAAAAGAGTCTGAAAAAACTTGACATTCTTTTTTTTAGGACAAAATTCTCATGAAAATTTTATTAACAT